CCCGCCTCCCCTCTAGAACCCTCAGTTTGTTTTTCGGAGTCCATCGTCTCTCATGGTTCGTCTCCCGCTCCGACTTACTCCCAGGGAAGGATATTCTAACACATGCTACCACATGGGTAAACCTTGAAGATAATATGCTAGACCAAATAAGACTATCACAAAAGGACAAATACCGTATGATTTCACTTATATGAAGTATGTAAAAGAGTCATGTTCAGAGACAGCAAGTAGAATGATGGTTGCCAGGGGGTGGGGGGGGCAGCAATGGGGAGTTAGTGTTTAGTGGGTACAGAGTTTCAGTTGGGAAAGATGAACATGTTTTGGATGTGAATGGTGGTGATGGTTGCACATCAATGTACAAAACTGCACACTTAAAATTGGTTAAAATGGTAAATTTCATGTTATGTATATTTCACAATAAACAAGGATATATCTGAGTAATATTCTGAAAACAACAGTCTACCTAATCACAGATGAAGAGAGTGAAAAACCAGATATTCTAATTGTTTTAAAAAGACCTCTCTACCTGGTGAGTCTTCAATTTCACAGTTTACTTTTTTGTTTTCATTTGATTCCATTTGTAAATTTTGTGATTTATGGGTTTTTAAGATTGAAGAACCAACTCCAAGAATCCCCAACTGTCACATTTAAAAAAATTGTGTTCTTCTCAGTCTAGTCCATTATTTACATGTGCCAGAGAATACAGTTTCTTATCATACCAAAGTATATTTTTGTAATAAACACTGTCCCTTTCTTCAGTATTAATCCAAGTCAGTTTTCTTCTGACTAGCCTAAACAACCCTGTATTATATCCTTCTTATAATCCCATCTGTGGATTTTCTGGAATTTAAAATAATGTTCCAAAATTTCAATTGTGACGAATTACTGATCCATGATTTATAGAATTTGTAGTATCTCTTTCAAGTTCATTATTTTCAAGACAAAGCTGCAAAACATAATTTCTCAGAAAAATTGATTTTGTCTTATATTAAATGTCTCAGTTAAGAGCTTGGACTTTGCAGTCAGATGCCCTAGGTTTGAATCTTGGTTCTACCGCTTACTAGATGTGTGAGGGGATAAATTATTTAAATTCTGTAAACCTTGGTTTCCTCATTTTTAAAATGTGGTATTGATACCTAAGAGTTTTGAGTAGCATGCATATAAAGCTCCTCTGCAGTATCAACATGTAGCAAGATTTAATAAAGGGCAGCTATTAATAATAACACTATCAACAGCAGTTTTGTAGAAATGGTAAGTGCCCCCCTATTGGACTGAAAGGCATTATGCTGCAACTTTTCTAAAGTTGACCCCACAGTTTTAACTCTAAGACGAATCTAGAAAAAAAGAGCAACTGTATATATTGTAAGACGTGTTTTCTTTTGTTCATAACTTCCAAATAACTTCATTCTTATTGTCATGTAAGCAAAAGGAATCAAGCCAAACAGAAATGAAAAGACCGGGTATGTACGTGTGTATACATACACACACACAGACACGTATCTAGTGTGTTTGTTATACACTATTTCAGGAAGTTGTATAAAAACATGAGAAAAAAAGGTGAAAAATAAACAGGAAGAGCTATAGACTACAATGAGGGTAAACACGTATACAAATGTAGGCAAATTTCTAAGCTGAGCTATTTGACTGATTCATTCAGAATCACATTATTGTCAGAAAAACACACTATAATTCCTCTGGTAATACCCCTAGAAGACAGATCTCCAAGTGTGGAAAAGTTGAATATTTTCATCCCTTCTTATCAGCGAAAGCAAAAAAGAATTTCATATTTTCTTTAAACAAAACCCAACTGCTACTACAGTCACTACCACTAAGGATTTCTAAAGTATATAACATTTGATACTGGGATTTCTGCCACAATTTCATTAGAAAGTACAAAGGATTTCTGCACTAACCACTTATACTCCCCAACTATAAAGAAAAATGGAAATTTTATGGCAGACTTATATTTCTAAAAATGTGTTCCTTGGGATACTAATGGCCTAAGACAATGAATGGGGTGGTAGGTTAAAAAGGTTCTGGGGTGCCTGGGTGGTTCAGTCAGTTAAGCGGCTGCCTTCAGCTCAGGTCATGATCCCAGGCTCCTGGGATCTGGGATCCAGCCCCACATCAGGCTCTCTGCCCAGCGGGGAACCTGCTTCTCCCTCTCCTTCTCTCTCTGCCTGACGCGCCCCTGCTTGTGCTCTCTCTCTCTCTGTCAAATAAATAAATAAATAAATAATCTTTAAAAAGAAAGGGTTCTGTGGTCAGAAGAGTTGAAGTTTGGGAAACACTGCATTCTAGCTCTCACTCTTAGAGATTCACAACACTATTAACATAACAGGTTCTGAGAAGTCCTGCAGTGAGCACAGCTGTTTAAATTTGCTTAACCAGTGTTCCCCAAATTTATTTGGCCATAGAATCCTTTTTTTCCAAGCAATAACCAAGGAACCAGGGTTCCTCATAACAACGTATTTTAGGAAATGTGTCATAAATTGCCTTTGATTAGCTATTAAAAGAGCAATTTCATATGTACCTGTCCCAAAAAGGTAGTCACTGGCAGAATCTGCTGAAGTCCCAAAATGAGTCCATGGTATTTCATGTCAGGAAAAAAAATCTAACTTGCATAGACTAGCCTTTACACTATCTTTAGGAAGTTCAAGTCATTTCCAGGTATGTGTTTTGACCCCTTTACTGCCTGTATGTTCTTAATCAAATCCAAACACTCAATTCTAATGCCTGTGCAAATATAAAAAATGAAGGTGACCCTCCAAGCCTTTGCTTTTCTTTCCAGGCTTCACTGTAAGCTAAGAAAACCCTGTAGCTGTGAGCTGCACCTTCAAATATAAGAATACTAAACTCAGTTACCAGCATTTTATTAACTGGTACCACGAGCCGCATTTATGCAATCTTAAAATAAAATAATGAATATTTGCAATGTTAATCCAGAAGCAAAGTAGTGACTGAATATTATTTCATTCCCTTAACACCTCCCTAACAACCCTATTAAGTATATAGAACAAAATCCTGTAATTACTACTTTATCTATTGGAGGTTAAGCAACGTGCCCCAATTACCAATAGTCAGCAGGGACCAATTTCTTGTTGGACAGATACTTGTGCATATTACAACTATAGAAACTGTATCAGATAATCACCCTGAAATATGAACAAAAACAGGAAATTCCTTTACTAATAACTTATTATTTAAGGAATTTTCTTCTTTTGAAATAATTTTGGAACATAATTTGCTAGAAATCTAAACTTGAACCAAAAACAAAAAATCAGATGGCATGCTCGATAGCTTTTTGTGAGTTCGGAAATTAAAAACAAAGTCTTAACAACTGCAATGAGGCATTCATTACTTTGTCCTTGTTTTAGAGGAAACAAAATAAGTAAGCTACAATTAATTCTGGGTAAAGTGTGAATGTGAATGATTACACTGCCAGGCTGTGGCATCCCTTTCTTCCAAGGTTCTCCCCTTCACTGCAAAAGTACATAAAAGTGTAGCAACACATGTAAGATGACACAGACATCAACAATTCTTAAAAAGCCTAACAGAGAAGACACAGTGTTACTATGGAAATAATACATTTTGGTAAGCCATTGACATTTGGGCACTGATTTTCAAGTTACACAAAATAAGCTGGCCTTTGAAGGAAGACACTTTAAAACATCTATGGCAGAATACACGTAACCACAATATTTTATATTATGATAATATGTAGCAATAACATTTTACCAGACATAAGGCAAATGGCTGAAGAGAAGGAAAAATCTGATGTGAAAGGAGTCAAGAATGTTAAAGTAGCAGATTCAAGTTTCATAAGTTTGTTTTTTTTTTAATGTAGAAGCAGAGGTAACAAAAATTGGTCTTCACCTGGTAAGTGTGTACTCCCTGAGTCCTGAATGCAAGTTCATGGCAGAAAAAGTACCTATGCATCCACGCAATCTTTTGTCTCGACCGATCTTCCATGTTACAAACAGTGGGCTGTAACGGAAGATAAAAATAGGGTCAATCAATCAATTCAACTCAAGCAAGTTATTTATTGAATATTTATTATATGCAGGGTTAGATGCCTGAGATATAAAGACCACATGACAGGCCCCCAAAGGGCTGGGTCTAGCCCAATGGACTGCATTTAACAACAATTATAGCTGGAATGACTGAGTGTATCCTATATGTGAGGCAGCATGATAAATGTTTTAAACAAATTACCTATATTAATCCTCATCAGCCACTCTAAGAGGCTGAGTAATGCTATTACCAACATTCCTATTTTACAGATGAGGTAGTCCCACCGTTAATACATAATGAAATCGGAACATCAACCTCGACAAAGCCTTAACCAGAATGGCTGACTGCTCGAGTCCTCATTTAAACCTCAAGTTACTGATTGATTCATTAAGTCTAGTTTAGAAAAACCAAAAACCAAACCAAAACAAACAAACAAACAAACCCAAAATTTCAACAAACACTGAATATCTCAGGGCAAAGTACTGTGAAAGGTTACGGGAAATACAAGGTTGCCTAAAATATCGTCACAGCTCTCTAGGAGCCAGTACAGAAGGCAGGCATTTTCACAACTAACTCACACAGGCAAAAGAAAATGAGTGCTATAAACTATGTCCGAAACGCCATGAATGAAGCTACAGGGATAGAAGAAAATTTCATCGAGTCTGATTCTCTTCAGCTTGGCCTAGAAAACCGAGTAGGGTTTGGAGAGGTAAAGGGCAAGAGCAAACATTAACAAAATAAGACTCTGAAACCAGAAAAATTATTTTAATTTTTAGATAAAAGTATGGCCAACAAATACAATCTCTCAAGCATTAAATACGATGGCATCAAGAAAGTTGTGTAGTTTTAAATGAAGTTTAATATAGTAGATTTGTGGATCTGGCAGCAAACCAGTGACAGCCCCAATTAATGGCTGAGTCTAGAAACAATTCTAGTTAGAAGCAACTTCATATGTAAGTTTATATGAAATAAATTAATTTACACATTTTAGCACATTGTGTAAAAAAGATAAATACCCTACAGTTGGGGGTGGTTCATGTTAATGTGAGTATTCACAGTATTATGGGTATGATATAGTAAATTTCTGCTTTCTAAAAATTTAAATGTTAGGGGGACATACCATATGTCATGTATTTCTAATAATATGCTGTTGAGTTGGAGAACACATTCTGTATTTAAAGTACTCTCTAGTCAGTCATCAGCAGTTGGGTGAAAAGATCCTGTTCAAGTACTTCAATCACCCATCTCAAACATTTAAATAATGCCGAGTTCTGACAGGCAGCCACAATGGCAGACAGGTCCCAAAATAAATAATGTATACAAACCAGGAGCAGTGCTAAGAATTACCTTCTTCCAAGAACCAAATTCTCAGAGGCATTGAGAAAAATGACCATAAGGCCAAATGATTGTCGATGTTAGTATTCAAGTGTTGGATGACCTACATTAAAAGTACGAAGATAAAAAGCAAAAGAAAAATTCCAGGTTTTCTGCTTTTGACGTCACATGTACCTAAACACCTTATAACTTGAGACAAGATACTGATGCTCCACTTAGAGCATTTCTCTAATTGCTTTTGACTAAGAATTATCAGGAAGACAAGAATTAGAAACATAACTCATACGAATACTACTACCTAAAATCCACACACTATCTTTATTTTTTTAAGAGTTTTTTTATTCATTTGACAGAGAAAGCACGCACACAAGCAGAGGGAATGGCAGGCAGGGGGAGAAGCAGCTTTCCAGCTGAGCAGGGAGCCCGACACAGGACTCGATCCCAGGACCCTGAGATCATGATCTGAGTAGAAGGCAGACGTTTAACTGACTAAGCCACCCGCACTCCACACACTATATTTAACGATGAATTTCACCTCTTTATTTTTCACTTTGTAATTTGGTACAGTCAACGTCAGCAACCATTATGTGGACAGTAAGATACCAATCTTCTCCCATAATGACACCTATACAAATCATGTCTCCATAACACGTCCCTTGGCAGACTCAGAACAAAGTGAATCACACTGTAACATATATACTAACATGTCTTTAAAATACCATGATGGCTTCTCCATGTAACAGAACGAAGTTGTGTATTCTCTTCCTCAATAACTTGACTGAGAAACCTACAAGTGTGAGTGAATTTGTTTCCTATCAAAAACCCTAGAGATGAAAGTCATTTAAAAGTGCTTTACCTTCAATTATCTTCTTTATCCCACTAAAATATATATGCACATCATTCTTACCATAATCCTATCTATTCAACCAAACATTCAAAATGTGTAGGGTAAACAGAAAATGAATACAAATTAACCACTATATTAGGGAATATGTTGGAGGGCATTAAAAACACATAGTAGGGAAAATTATATACAGTCTCTTGTAATGCCATGCTATCGCTGATGAAGGGATGATGAATTTGAGGGGTAGGGTGCTAGAGGATAAACTGCAATTTGCCAGGTAGCCTGGGAGAAAAGGTACTCCATAATAAGCAAGGGCTTAGAGATGTAACAGAAAGTAGTGTGATAATCTTGATAACTTGCTGTGGTCTCTTGCAGATTTAACATTCTATGAATTTTAGGCACTGTTGAATATTTGTCCTTAAGAGCCCTCATAACAGGTAAAGCAGATGCAGAGTTGTCTGCACTCTCCCTGTTCCTTACCTGCCCCAGGCAACACCCACTTTGGGGGTTGGTGTGGCGGGGAAATATCTGTGGCAAAGATGGGAGAGATTGCTATTTGACAACCCCACTGTGTTTAGGACAGATGCCTAAAGATGGAAGAAATCAGACTTTTAAGAGACAGAATACAACTCTGCCTTCACAATCTGGGGCTCTAATTTCTCATTTACAAATGCTCATCCAGTGTACTTTATAAAGAACACGTATGTGTTCAAACAAAACACAGACTCACAGAGAACTAAGGATAGTTGCTAGAGGGGAGGGAGGTGAAGGGGGGGTGAACCAAGTCACTGAAGGGGATTAAGAGGTACAAGGCTATGCTATGTACAGTGCAGGGAATGTAGTCAATAATATTGTAACAACTTTGTATGGTGACAGATGGTAACTAGACTTAATTGTCATAATGTATATAAATACCTGAAACTAATACAATATTGTATGTTGGTTATTTTTCAACAAAATAATTTAAAATTGGGGCACCTGGGTGGCTCAGTCATTAAGTGTCTGCCTTCGGCTCAGGTCATGATCTCAGGGTCCTGGGATCGAGCCCTGCATCGGGCTCCCTGCTCCAAGGGAAGCCTGCTTCTCCCTCTCCCACTCCCCCTGCTTGTGTTCCCTCTCTTGCTGTGTCTCTCTCTGTCAAATAAATAAATAAAATCTTTTAAAAAAATAGTAATTTAAAATTTTTAAACGAACATATATATGGAATTTTAAAAAACAAAATACCTACAAGCAACATTTCATGGGGGAAAGAACTTGGGAATGAAGCATTTTAAAGTACACTGAAACAGAATAAACGTCACTGAGCACAAGAGATTGTATCTTGTGTGTGATAACTACTTTGTACAGGGCAATGACTATGGGAACATTCAATACGTATTACCTAAAAATAGCAACAAAAATTTTTCTTTTCCCAATGCACAGAGGGAAGAAATAGGCAATTTTATTCTTAAATGTATTATTAAAACATGTATGAGTTCCCGAAAGGATGTATGACATCAACGTAATCAGAGATGGATCAAAGTAGAAAAAGAGATTTGAGCCTGTTGAGAGGAGCTGCTTAGTGACAAGGAACTAAGGAAAATAGTTCATAGTAAGACAAAGATTGAAGGTTTTTGGAAAATACTTTTACCATATGGTTTGAAGCCACCTACATACGCTGAAAAAAAAAATACTACAAGCTAGAAAGGGGCTCAAAATGAAATAAAATATTAATGGAAATGTTTATTTGAGAGTAACCAGACATAGCTTTTTAAGGAATTTTCCTACTTGTGAACATTTTGTACCACAACGTTCTGAGAAACCTTTGGAGGCAAGTAAATTCTCTCCATTTTTCCAAGTCTGTAGACAGGAACAGGAAGTAACCACCTAATCTAGGTGAATCCTCTCTGCCAACTGGCAGCCAATACCATCAGGTCAATAGTACTAGCTCTCAGGGAAAGGTAGTTGTGTGGGATTAGCAAAAGTACAGAAAAGCAATGTCAATCTGAACAGGATATACTCCAGTCCAAGTTGCAGTGCCACTTCCTATGTCCCTCTTTTGAGATTTTTTTTTTTTAAAGATTTATTTATTTATTTATTTGAGAGAGAGAATGAGATACAGAGAGAGCACGAGAGGGAAGAGGGTCAGAGGGAGAAGCAGACTCCCTGCTGAGCAGGGAGCCCGATGCGGGACTCGATCCCGGGACTCCAGGATCATGACCTGAGCCGAAGGCAGTCGCTTAACCAACTGAGCCACCCAGGCGCCCGCTCTTTTGAGACTATTGATGCAGACCAGAACAGACTAGACATATATTTGTGGGAGAGGCGTACAATATTTTACCATAAACCCTATCTCCCCTCCATACCGTGGCAGAAACAGATTAAAAAAAAATAGCCTTAGACATTTGCAAGCCCCCACTCTGGCAATTTGCTCTTCTCTAGAATGAGATTTGTAGGGGGTGACATTAACAAGATGACATCCATCCCTACCAATATAATGCTAATTACTATAAATGGGTGTTCAACAAGGCTATTAATATTACACATAGATATGGGAAAAGAGAAGCTACCTAGCATGGTTCTTTCCCTTTGCCATCAAATCATGATTGCTTCTCAACTATGCTCAGGTCCTTCTGTTACTTAGCGCAGTGATCCAACTAAATTACTCATAACATCCAACTCAATACCGTAATTCCCCAGGACCTAGGAGCTCAGGGAAAAACAGAAATGGTGGAGTCTTCCTTCCACTGCCAGGTTAAAACACTTTGCTTCCTGTTTCAACACAAAGAAGTTACCTACCTCATTTACAGATCAC